GTTAACTCACCTCAACATCTACGTTGAGGTGAGTTAAATACGAATTTTTGTTTCGAATAAATATTTCATGTAATGATGTGTTAAAAATGGTTGCGGAGGAAGATGCTTGAAGTTCACTTCTGTTGTTGAAATGTAAAATATTATTAACCTAGCTATCTTCGAGTAATACCACCCGGCACATATACAATTGCTCTAGCCGCTTTTAATATTTCTGAGAAAGCCGTAAATTTCCATCGTACATGATTTTCATGCTGGAGAATACGTATCAGTGTGAGCAAACTTTCTAAGTATTGATGAGGAACAAGTTCTTAGGTAAATCCAGGTGAGTAGACATACATCTGACCTTAGTTTTGAAAATTATTCGTTCGGGCAGCATATCTCCGAAAGTTGATTGCAAGAAAAAATGAAATATGTCCGGGAAAGAAACAAAAGGTATCAATTTTTATGTTTCTCCCGTTTTTAAAAGAGCTTCAATGTTAGGTACGATTTTATACATTTATTAACCTTTTAAACGCAGCACTAAGTATGAAAATGGCATTTTTTTTCTCTTGTAGCCTACAATTTTGTACACTGATGACTATTTGGCTCACACGAAATACTGAGTCGGAAAAACCTATTATACTGAATCGGAAAAAACCTGCTAAATGGGGTAATTAATTCTGCTGTTTGCTTCATTAAATCAAAAATCTGATGTGTACACCCCATGACTTACATTATTAAATTATATGCCCTTTTTCCTGCATTTCATTTAAACTTATTTCCTGAAATTTTATTAGAGATATAATTCTCATTCAATTAATTCAGTTTTCACTTCGCAGCAAGGCAAAAATATATAAAACTCTTATCTTCATTAAAAATATCTTCATTAAAAATTGAAAGATATAGAAAAACATAAAACACCAAATACGGTGAAAACAATTAAAAAAACAATTTTTACAAATAAAATTACAATTTCTAAGCAAAAATAAGCAATTCGACCAGCAGGTAGAAGGCAGATTTTTTGGAGCACAATACTAGGAGTTACCTCTTGGTCTCACCCGACAAAAGGACACTGAAGGTGCAGAAAAACTTAATTCACTATTATGCTAAGCTTCAAATGTAAACAAATACGGCTGCTATGGTAAGAAACGTTAGGCTTAGCCGCACTTAAACAACTTTTAAATTGTTTATAATTCTAAAACTATTGAATGCAGATTAACTACAGACATAAAAACCTTAACTGGAAGATAAGAATAACATAATTCAATCCTTTTTAGACCGAAAAATGCACAATTTACTAACATATAAGGATAAAAAAAACTGAGCTCATTGAGCTGAGTAATACAGTCGGCATTTATATATATACCCACTATATAAACATATACCCACTCTATTACTGGTTCAGAGAGTATTATCAGTAAATATATGTAATTTATACCCCAGTAAATGTATACATATTAATATACTTTATACCGGGGTATAAACTCTATTATATATATATATATATATATATATATATATATATATAATAATTTATTTCCTAAACCGTATTGATTAATTGATTATATTATCTCCTAAGATATATATATATATATATATTTCCTAAACAGTATTGATTAATTGATTATATTATCTCCTAAGTTTAGTTAAAGTAGAATTATTTAAAAAAAGTGAATCCATACTGGTAAGTTATATTTTGAAAGATGTTTTGAAGTAATTTGAAAGCAAAATGTTAATAATGTTTTAACGGGGACTGGAGTTAAATCATCATGAAGAATAAAATTTCAATTGTAAAAGGAAAAATTAAAAATATGTAATCATTGTCATTGATCGGAAATTAGTTGACTTTTCAAGGGGAACAAACCAACTCCCGTTCAATGAACAATAATTGAAAAAAATACGTAAATACGAAAGTGTTTCGTCTTTACTCGAGTTATAAGTTAAAGCCAAACCGCAATTCTAGTCAGGCCAAATATTTCCGCGAATAGAAGGGATTATGATCCAATGCTGATACTCAAAGAACTTATTCTTATGAAGTATTTTAGTCAATTCAATTTGGAGTAAAAATCAATTACTGTAGAGAAATCCTAATTAACCCGAGTAACCGTCCCCGACACTTTCATGTTTATGCATTTGAGTTCTATATTATTTGTAAAAATTAAACATTGGAAATTGTCATTATGAAATCGAATTCAAAGTAAAGTTGAAATAAACATAGAAGATTACAAAATAAGATAAATAATGCAAACTTTGTAAATAAATCAAAGACAATATAAATATAATATAAAAATAATAATATAAAAAATCAAATATAATAAGAACAGTGAATGTACATGAAGATATAAAGGCCAGAAAAGGTATTAAGTAACTTACATTCTTTCTAGTGGGGGGGAGTTGGCAAAGTGTTCTCTTCGTGTCTGACTCATAAGTGTAGGGTGTCCGAAAATCTTGTAATCTTCTATGTTTATTTCAACTTTACTTTGAATTCGATTTCATAATGACAATTTCCAATGTTTAATTTTTACAAATAATATAGAACTCAAATGCATAAACATGAAAGTGTCGGGGACGGTTACTCGGGTTAATTAGGATTTCTCTACAGTAATTGATTTTTACTCCAAATTGAATTGACTAAAATGCTTCATAAGAATAAGTTCTTTGAGTATCAGCATTGGATCATAATCCCTTCTGTTCGCGGAAATATTTGGCCTGACTAGAATTGCCGGTTTGGCTTTAACTTATAACTCGAGTAAAGACGAAACACTTTCGTATTTACGTATTTTTTTCAATTATTGTTCATTGAATGGGAGTTGGTTTGTTCCCCTTGAAAAGTCAACTAATTTCCGATCAATGACAATGATTACATGTTTTTAATTTTTCCTTTTACAATTGAAATTTTAATCTTCATAATGATTTAACTCCAGTCCCCGTTAAAACATTATTAACATTTTGCTTTCAAATTACTTCAAAACATCTTTCAAAATATAACTTACCAGTATGGATTCACTTTTTTAAAATAATTCTACTTTAATTAAACTTAGGAGATAATATAATCAATTAATCAATACTGTTTAGGAAATAAATTATTATTAACTAACTTTGCAGCAATTGCGCAAGTAGTAATATCTTGTTTTCGCTCTAAATGGATTTAAGATCATACAACATTATATATATATATATATATCCATTCTGTACCCTTGCACAGTGCAAGTAAGGAAAATGTAATATAAATATAATATGTATAAAATATACATACTTTAAAGTATAAAGTAAGTATATATACTTTATACTATGGTATAAAGTATATCTATTTATATACTTTATTCTGAAACTCTGTTATATATATATATATACATCCACTCTTTTCCCTTGCACAGTACGTGTAAGTCAAAATGGATTCATGGCTTCATGGGATTCTCGCCAAATTCGACGGTCTTGCATAAGCGCAACATAAGTTATAGCGTGATTCATCAGACCACATTACTCGTTTCCAGTCCTCAGGTATCCAGTGTCTTTATTCCCGACACCACAGCAAACGCATTCTTACATGTCGGGCAGAAATGAGTGGTTTTTCTCACAGGCACCCGACTATGCCTTCCTATTCTCTGCAATTCTCTGCACATGGTTCGAGTTGAAATCTGTTGGGAAGAGCCTTGGTTGACGATCTATGTCAATTGAAGCACAGTAGAATACCTGTTTTGCTGTCAAACTCGTCAAAGACGACGCCGATCACTCTCTTGGAAAATTGTGCTGGAACCGCAGTTACGTGTTAACTGTGGGTTCTGATTCCGACTTTTGAAAACCTTTGATATGGCTGCTTTTGAGAACCCAATGAGATTTGCTGTCTTCGAAATCAAGGCTCCTGCTAAAGGGGCACCAACAATAAGCTCTTTTTCAAATGGTGAAAGACCTGTAGGTTTTCCTATTTTACTTCAATCATCGTGAAAAGCACTCTTATACCATACTTATACTAGGTAAAAAAAAGGTAGGACATCGGTCGGACTTCCCTTTCTCGCGGGCATAATTCAGTAGCCCCTGTGCTGCAACATCGGCAACGTCCTCCGTGATGAACAGGTAGAATGTCTAATAGATTTTGGTAATTCGTGATGAGTCTATTGAGTTGCAAGTGACTAGCCATTTATAAAAACATTTTGGAAAATAGGCACTAAATCATTTTACTTATTTGAAAACATACAGACTCCCCGAGTACCACAGATGTACAACACGGAGCTTACAGAAGTAAGTTCACTAAAAAATTACAAGTTGCATGCATAAATAAAACGAACAAAAGCAGAGACAGCAGTCTAGACTTCACGAAAATAGGAAAGTTTACTGGCAAAGTCACTCCGAACATATTCAAATCGTTCTGCAAGCATAATCTAGGGCTATAAAATGTAGGACATGAGAAATCAAATTCTGCAAGCATTGAATCCTTATTCTCGAAATGAGTTTCCCCTTTCATATAATATTTGGATTACCACATTTTTTTTTAAGTTCATCGAAATATGAATAAAGTTAATAAGTCAACTGATTGTTTGTGTTTTTATACATCTTTTAATAAGTACACTTGAGTATTTTACCTTTTTTAATGCTTCTGCTACAGATTTTTACGGGAATTGCTGCTGACATTAAAGTCAACATATTTATTTTACAAGCAAAAAAATGAACTTTTCTAGCCTTTAGGTCTAGAGAGTTCAAACATTTTCTTTCAATTAAAAGAATTTAAAATAAAAAACTTTTAAGTATCTTGCACAATAGTAATTCCGAAAGTTTTCATATTTTTGTTAAAAGAAACAGTGTGCATTTAGGAGCATTTTCAAATAAAACTTGGGTGAGAAAATATTACTAATTGGTGTTAACCCTTTTATTATCGACTTATATCCCCTAGTGCTTTTATGAATAATGTATAAATTCTAAATAATTCTGTTCTGTCACATTCAAAAACTGGAAGATGATACGGAAGTCAATTAAAGGTGTACCCGATACGGAAAAGATCAGTAAAGAAAGATGAATTAGCTTACCTTTGGCGGAACGAGGGCCCTTCTGCGGTGTAGCACGGAGGCCGGAGGCGCATGAGCCGCATCCTCCTGCTCGCTGCTTTCCTCATCTTCTTGTGAAGAGAGCTTCTTAAAAACGTTTGGAGGGCCGTCTTGTTCCTGAAACATAAGAACAACGAATGAAACAATGGAATAAAACACGACTCAGAAGTTTCACTGAAAGAGTTATTGAAAATTTTAATGTAACTTGTATTTTTGCCGCTCCAGAGGGAGTTAGGTAATTTTAATTTCTGATAATTATTAACTTCTGCTTCATCAAAATATGCTTGTAAAGAGAGAGAAAGCTGTATAAGCGATAAAAATGTTATGGATATCTGGTACCTTCAGCATGGTTCATACTATCTTTCTTCTGCTATGAATTTGGATGCTACTAAGTTTTTACTTTTAAATAAAGAATGATTCTTGAATAACATAGTCTTACATAAAAGCTCCGCTAGTGAAGTGGGAAATTTTTGGTGGTGTCCAATATTTTCAAGGAATATTTATTATTAAAAAGTTTTAAGAGATTTGAGTTGAGTATAGTATGCCCTTTTAGTTTTTAAAAATGACACCATTCAGGTGAGAGCCACTTCCGTGTAAACTTACGGAGTTTCAACTAATATATCATTTTACTATACTTTGTAAAAGAAGATACAACTGTAATAGCACTAATAAACTTGTAAGTTTCCTACCTTAATTAACCCGTACAGACATTAGGTACTTTTTGGAAGCAAGAGAGATGAAAAATGAGCAACGCCCTCGCCGGGAATCGAACCACGGACCTCTGGAATACGACCCCAGCGTGCTGATCACTACACTACGAAGGCGGGAAAACATTCTTAGCATACCTTATAAACCAATTATTATAACTTTGATCTTTACTATAAATTTTTTCTGTACTCTGCCCAGAACGCAAATTAGTTAAGCTCAGGGGTTTTGAATCTTAGAGACACAAAGTTTCTGGCACTCGCGTCTACTGTTAGTTTTTCGCAATCTCTATTTAAAAGTTATTGCGACTTTGGCATTTTCTCCCTCGCGGATACTTTCAATTTCCACGCCAGTAGAATAATTGAGTGAGCTTAAAATTTATTTTATTGAATGTGTAGTTCTTAGACTGCGTTAATCGCGTTTGAATTTATTTCCAGTTATTGTTTAATTTGAACAGCCACAAGTCGAAGTTTGTCTGTAGCACAAGTCATAATTTATGTTATGATTTATTTTAACCTTCCTTAGTACTTTGTGAGTTAAGACATAATGATAATACACTGTCTTGTTTAGCAGGGTCTGCAGGACTTAACTTTAGTTTCCAAATCAAAAGCAGCCGTAAAATCGAAAAAGATTTTTGTTTTTTAAGATTACATTCTTTAGAACAACGGCAAGTTTTTCAGACGTGGAGAGTTAATTTTTTTCAAACATGAAAAGTAATAAGCACATAGTAACACTAACTGCTTAAAATTACCTTAGGAACAAGGGAACAAGTACCTGCTTTTAGAATTCACAGTTGATACAAGATGCAACACGTAAGGATCATTGCAAATCTTTTTTTTTTTTCCATACTGTTTTAATGGTGGCTATCATTTTACCTAATACCAAGGGCAAAATGATTCTCTTGCGGAACGTTTAAATATATATGGTATTCAAAGCACTGAATAAAAATCTCCGAAAAGCATTTCGTAATATTCAGACAATGCCATATTGGCGTAATTGCAACATATACATTATGCATAAAAACTTCTTTAGAATTCCAAAATTCCTTTCAACACTTCGTAAGACTATGATTTACTAATGCAAAATTAATTTGGAAGTAAAAGAAATGCACAAGCAGTGTACATTCCCATGTGATATGTTTTGTAAATTTAATATAAATAGATAAACTCTTGTAAATTATTAATTATGTAAAAATGTAATTACTGTAGAAAAATACTTTCTGATACATTGTTAAGCTATACTTTAAATGTTGTTCAAAGTTGTCGTAAGCTATACTTTAAATGTTGATTAAGTCTTAATTCCTTTCTTAATAATTCGGACTTTCCAAATTTTGTTCAGAATTTTGGCAGACAATATTTGTTTATATAACGATTCATTTCAAGAGAAAATATATCACAAGAACTATCAACTGTATTTAGAAAGTATTACTTGTTTAGAATAATAAGTAATAGTAGTGCTATTTCTAAAATAAAACAAAATAAATAAAATCTTAAAGCTTTCGAATTTTATATCACTCTTAAAGGGACGCTTATTTTATTTACAGACACATGCATGTTTCGGGAGCATTTGGGCTAAAATATTTAAAAACAGCATATCTTTAGAATTTCCGATAGGCAGTCTCGCGCTCTGGAGATAAAAATGTTTTATTCCTTAAAGTGCTCTACTGCTCACTTTGAAATGGTTGAGTTTGTTAAGTAAAAATTCGTTAAAAGATTATAAAATATGAAATAGATCATAAAAAAATTCAATATTTGGGCTTCCAGGTACCCAAATTCGGGTGGAGGAAAAGGTTATTCAAATTTTTATGACTCTAGGTATCGTTGTTTCTTACAATGCGAGAAACATACATAGATACATTCATGGAGATTATTCATTATTTAGTTTCTTTAAATATAATACAGAGCGATAGTATTCGGTGGCAGCAATTTGAAAAGTGATGTATCGCTTTTAAGTCATTCGACACAAAATGCAATTTTAAGACTAATCCTTCTTGGCTACTAAATATAGCAAAATGCTACAAATTAACGAAACGTTCTGTTATAAATTTTATTATTCGTCATTTTAAAAATTGTAAGAATATTCGAAATATCCAAAAAAAAAAAAATCTTGGTGTAAACCGTTTAATTATCTTCGATGTAGAAAATGAAGGAAAATGCATAGAATTACTAAAAATGTACTTAAGTCTGAACACATTCCAAGCTAACATCGAGGAATCGGAGATTTAACATTAGTTGGGACCCCATAATTAGTGCCACAAAACGTGCAGCAGATTTAAAAGGACGGTTTGGAATAAAATTTACTCTGTTAGAAAAGTCATTAGGGCTCATCTACATAATGAGCTATCAGCAAGAAAGAAATTCTTCGACGACTGAAACAATGTTATATTTGCAGAGAACTAGAAATTTAATATGCCATGGAAAAATTACAATGTCGTGAAAGCCAAATAATCCAGAAAACCTATTCCCTACTGTTGGCGCACAGGTGTGAAGGTATAACGGTTTAGGGATGTTTTCGCCACCTTTGGGGATAGGAAATTTAGAAAATAACATAAATAAGAATAAATATATAAACATTGTTATTGCAAATCTTAATGCATCTACATGAGTGCGATCTTTGAGTGCGATCCTAAACGGTAGCTTGTGATTATTATGTAACTCCCCCGAAACTATCAAAATTCTTCGGCCTTAGATCCTACCGAAAATGCAATACGTAGTGAATAGGAGAGAAGAATAAAGAAGCATAATATTTCTTCAAAAGTTATACAAAAGCAAATCTTACAGAGGAATGGTAACAAAATAAAATATTCTCACACGAAAAACTTAAATCCATTCATGACAAAGTAATAAGTATAATTTCAGCTGAAAGCTATAAAAATATCGAAAACCCAGATCGATATTTGGATATTCCGTTTGCTTAATGTGTCTTAACACTTATGCAAGTTCATTTTTATTTATTAATTTTTTACCAAAAACGTTTTGAATAACTTTTTCCAAAATACGTAAGTTTTGGAAAAGATGATCAATAGTACATGTGTAAGAAGTATAATCATTTTGCTAATATTCAGCAAACGGTATTTGCAAATAAAACCGAAAAACTCTAGTTCCTGGTAACAAATGTGATCTATAGTAAAAATTAAGGATAATGCTTCATTAAAACTAACACTCAGTTTCTATATTTTCACATTGAAAATTCCAATTTTTCCTAACACTGAATGAAAGCCTGAATTCTTACGTTCCTCTAAAATTATCTGTTACTTCTCTAAAATAATAAGTCAGTTTGCTCCTAAATAAGCATCCACCAAGTTTTATCCTTGAAAAAATTTCAAAATAATAAATAAATTAATTTATCCATAGAGAAGATCCTGTCATTATTTTTCACCTAAATAAGAGCTGATATCATCACTTTTCTTTCTTACTATAGAGTCATTAGTAATGGGAAAATAAGCAATTATTGCTCAGAGCAAACACAAAATGGGCAATGTTCATTTGAACAGGGAAAATGAGAAATGCTCTCGCCGGGACTTGTGCCTGGACTTCTTGAATAAGCTCCGAGTGTGCTACCGTTAGACCAGGAAAGCATGTTGGAAGGAGAGAGAAAATGCCTTATATACTCCCTCTTTTAAAGGGCGTCTGGGAATTAGGGGACCCAGTTGATCGCCAAATCCTGGTAGTGACGAATTATCGTCCACCACCCTTAGTTCCGGCGTCACTTTAGAGTCATTAGGTTATTTTGAAGCAGAAGACATAAAAAATGGACAATGCCCTTACCAACTCCGACCTCTTGAAAACGCGTAGATTATGCTTCAAACTATACCACAAAGGCATGAGAAAAGGAGGGAGAAAATATCTTGTAACATGTTCTGCTATTTCTTAAAACTAATGAAGTACATTACTAAATTAAAGAAATTTCATCGTGAGTATTTTAATATTCAGTATTGTTGAACGGAAACAGGCAAACCTTTGAAGGGACTCTTTGTTTTAAACTCTTTAGAATGTCAAAAAACAGTTTTGGATGCGCTGAATTGGTACCATACACATGAAAACTACATCAATACAAATGTCAATACATAAATTTTGAATGACGAATTGGAGTATCTAATCATTCCGTGACCAAAGCTATCAAAACCCAGATCAGTCGATATATTGGAAAAGTATTTTTTCTTTTCATTTTTACATTCTGGATCAAAGTAGAATCTTTTCTGGAAATAAAACATTCTTTTCCCTAAGAATTAAACGGAACGATTTTTAAGCGAAACTTGTTTTTAGAAGCAAACATACTTTTTATTAAAATTCGAAAGGCTAATGAAAAATATCAATTCTTTTTCAGTATGAAAATTTGCTTTAACATTTACGGAAACATATTTTCTAGATTTAGATACAATTAGCTTAACAGCATTTCTAAACAATATATAC